TATTACGGTGAACACTGATGACGGGTGGCGGGAAGTGATAACTACTGATAGGAGCTGATAACGGACGTCGAAATGTTGATGTCACCAATTTCGTTGCACCGTTCGCGTTGACAGTGGAGAGTTTGCACTCATGTATGATATGTGGGGGCGGGGACCAAGAAGTTGAGTGAACGAATGTGGTAGCAACTGATAAGAACTGATAAGGGGCGTCAAAGTGTGGATACCACCAGTTTCGTTGCGGCCCTTGCGGTTACATTGGAACCTTGGCTCTCACATGTGGTATAGGGGATGGGACGGGAACACGGATAGCGGATGATCAGAAGTGATAACAAGCGATAACGGTTGATAAGGAAGTTAGGATTTTGAGTACTGCTAATTTCGTTGCAGCCTTCGTGGTGACAGTAAAATATTAGCTCCTACACGTTGCGTGGAGGTTGGGACCGGGACACCGATTGCGAACAGTATGAACTGATAACAAATGACAAGGAATGATAAGAGCGTTTGAATGCAGGTCTCTACAACTTCGTTGCAATTATCACTGGCAAGCGATCAAGGTGGCGAGGGTTGAATGTAGGTGACAGAAAGTGGTATGAGCGGCAACTGTACTGATAAAAGTAGCGACAGTTGAGCGTGCACTCAATTGAACTAAACCAGGTCCCTAGCACGTGAATATGTTCCATTCCTACCCTTTCATCTAAAGAAGCAAAGAAAGTTGAGCTGCTCAACTATCTGGACTTGGACCAATAGCGAATTTCAATCATATTTTGCCAATTTCCATCACAACGATCAATTGTGAAATTCTATAAACCGCTAAATCATCCGAGCTCGATATCAATGCTAAATGTTTACGAAGTCATGATAAGTGCAATTTTCATTCCGCATGCTACTGCGCGCATTACGCTACAATCTTCAGCAAAATTGGACAGCCTTTGAAATTCATGTGACACATCTTCCAAACATCTTACTGTTAGTTTCTCAGCCACGTGACCTAATATTCAGCAAGTTGTCCAGTTTCAAAAGCCTACCATGATGCGCGCGGTTGCGTGCGGAGCTAAACTGGTAATAAATCTCGTAAAACAATCTTCCTTTGGTGAAACGACATGACCCCAAGTAGGAGCAGGAGTGGCGTGAGCAACTCTTTTCATTTCTCTATAGTTCCAGCCTCTTACAGGCTTAGTCCCAAACGGTACCGCCGTACCTAACGATAGCGCTCTAATAAGTATTTCGTTGTCTAACGACGGTCTGGTAGAGCTCAAGCTCAAGGTCGCAACTCTTGTTCGCTTATTTCGCCATGGCTAACTTTAGGCGTCTGGAACGCGACATGGATACGGCTTCCCAGTTCAGTTCATGTCCGACTTCACTATGCACAACAGGTTTGAAGGTTCCATTCAGAATATAAACTGAATTGCTTACAATAATTTTCCTATTTCAGCATCAGGACATCTACCCAACCAGAACAACGCCTAAGCCATCGTCTCAGTCCTCAGAATCTGTTACCGATAATGAATCTCGCGGTACAGCTCGCTCATGTTTTAGCGAACATCCGTCTATTTTTTCCATTGTCACCCACCCATCCTACTCAAAACCACTCCACAAAGCCATGGGTCACCTTTCTTTAGCATAAGTGTCAGAGGAGGGATCGCATTTCTAATTTTCGAGAGGGGGTCGTATGGGGTCGGCGAGGTCTAAAGGTTGAAAAGGTACGAGCCGATGGGGTCGTGTTTGCAGGAGAACGTGTTGTTTTTGATGTTTTTTACTACCATGAGGAAAAAATTGAATCAAGCGTAAACATGGAATGTTAGAGGGTTTGCCGTTTCTTGCCCGCGTTTACCTTTTCTGTTGGGGAATGCGGTGGTCCGAGGTGCTGGGGGAGGTCGTCCTCTCCCCTCCCAGGGGGTCGTCAAAATTCCGAAAAGTACCAATGTCAGGGCTGAATTTGCGTGGAGGTGATAAGACGAGCATGGCATGTACAGGAAAACGAAACCCTGAAAGCTTCGTGAAATTGGATCAGGTTTACCACAGTGAAGAAACCGCCTTCACTCTTACAGGTGATACCACTGAAGTCGATGATGAACAGCAAGAGGCTCAGGTGACACCCTATGAGAAGTCCACTACTAAAAGAGACATCAGAAGGATAGCGATCTGTCGACCTCCTGTGTGGAGTGAAGTAAGTTGCAAGGCCACGTTGGGA